GGCTTGGACAGGCAGTTTTCAGGGGTCTGGCCCTAGACAATCCCAGGGGCTGGGGCAAAGAGCCCTCCCCTCCACCCCGGCGCAGGAAGAGAGAATGGAAACGGGATGCTTACAGGTACCTGACTGGACAGGGCAAAGGTGCTGGCTGGGGTCTTCTTCTTGCTGTTGCTGTTGTTGGTGTTTCCCCCACCAGAGCTCATAGTGCTGCCACCCGACATCTTCCTTTTCCGGCGCTTGCTTGGCTGCTGCCGTGCTGGCTCCGCTGGTGGAGGAGGGAGACATGGTCAATCCTAATAGGAAGGAGTCAGTGCCCTCCAGCCCCTTCTCTGAAAACCCCCTTCTCTGCAAGGACAACATGCCTCCTGGAGCAGCATCACCACCCTCCCCCTGCTGTAGGTTCACTGTCCCCCCAGGGCAGGGGACAGGAGGGGCAGCCGCCCCCCCCAGCCTCACAAGACGAGGCCAGGGATGGGCTTAGGGGCTGGGAAAAGCCGGTGCTGAGGACAGGGCCTGATGAGACAGCCGTGGAGACCCACAGGCAGCAGGGCAGGCAGTGAGAGACTCACCAGGCGGAGCAACCATCCGCTGCCACTTCTGGAAGAGGCAAGTCTTGAGGCAGTCTCGGGGACTGAGGCTGTAGGTCTTGTGCCGTGACATGAGCTCCTGCATTGGTTCTAGGATTACACAGAGCTGTAAGAAGCAGACAGACAGGGGGTTAGATCGCGATGCTCCAGACCCCAGCAAAAGCACCTCTGCTGGGCAGCTGCCTGTTGTACACTGACCCAAGCTTCCTGTGCCCCACAGCTCTCTGCAGCCTATCTGCACAGTCCCTCCTGTAGAGCCTGCCCTGCTGCCCCCCCCACATGCCAGGGCAGCCAGGCATTGGGCAGCTGAAAGGTGGCCTCCCTAGGGCCACCCCAAACCAGGAGCAGGCCTGCATCCCTCCCTCTTTTCTGCACACTTACTCGGAGGTAGTTGAGTGTGGAGTTTGAGAGCCCGCAGCGGGTGATGTTCTTGGATAACTGGTCCAGCATCTGGGGGTCCTGTGCCTAGGAGTGAGAGATACAGACAGCTCAGCTGCATCCGGGCTGGGGACGGCCCTCCCATGCCCCAGCCTCCAATGCGGGTCAGGCCTCAGGTCCCCCCCGCCTGCACTGCATGAAGAGGAGCTCAGCAGCCCCGTATCACCTATGCCCCAGGGGAGCTTCCAGAGTGGTACTCACATGCATGGCAAGGATGCTGCGAGGGATGAGCTCTCGATGCTGGCGGATGCTGAAATGCCATGTCTTTATTCTCATCATGTCATCGAACATGAACTCCAGGTAGAGCCGCCCCTCCACACACACCTGGGCAGAGCAGAGCGTGGGGTCAGGCACAGGCTGCTCCCACTTCCCCCAGCCCATATCCCCTGGGAACCCACTGCTGCACACTGGGACACCCGCCTGCCATGAGACCTGGCACAAACCAAATCCCAGAGCCCACACAAGACTGTGACCACGAGGGCACACTGGACCGAGCCATGAGGGGCAGGAGAAGCCACGGGCACAGCCAGTACCTGGGTGAACATGGGCTTGCCGTGCTGTGTGACCATGGTGCACTGGTCACAGTCTAGCGAGACGAAGTTGTTGTGGAAGGACTCCTTGGGGTGCTTGAGCACGTAGTAGAGCTCTGTGGCCCCCCCTTCAAAGATGCTGCGGAAGTAACGGGGAATCAGAGTCCGGCCAATTGCTGGAGTGGGAGAAGGAGGAAAATCTGGTCAGTAAACCTGGCTCATGCAGATGTGCCTTTGGGCTGGACATGTAACATCCCCCCGTGCCTGACAGCTGAAGGTGAGTTCCGACACCCTGTCTACATCCCCCTGCACAGCACAACCTCCCTGTCTCCTCCCAGAGGGGCAATAATGCCCTGGGGAACGAGGGCTCAGCCTGGTACTCACTGTATCTCTTTGGTCCATCCTCCAAGCAGAAAGTGATTGTTAACATGGCATCATCTTCAAAGAACTCCGTGGTGAAGGCATCCCACCACAGATTGTCACATTCCTGGGGACGGCAGATAGATGCTAGGTTATGGGGAGGAGAGACAGACAGACACAGCTCCTGGATGCCTGGCACAGCAGCTACATGCTCAGCCCCTGGAAGGCTGCACTCCTGGCTGAACACTTGGGGATGAGCCCTGTCCTATGGCCAAGTAAAGGGATAAGGCACTCGGGGACCTGCATAGAATTATAGAATAGTTAGGGTTGGAAAGGACCTTAAGATCATCTAGTTCCAACCCCCCTGCCATGAGCAGGGACACCACACACTAAACTGTATTGCCCAAGGCTCTGTCCAGCCTGGCCTTGAACACCTCCAGGGTTGGAGCATTCACAACTTCCTTGGGCAAGCTATTCCAGTGCCTCACCACCCTCACTGTGAAGAACTTCTTCCTTATATCTAACCTAAAGTTCCCCTGTTTTAGTTTAAATCCATTACCCCTTGTCCTACCACTACAGTCCCTAATGAAGAGTCCCTCCCCAGCATCCTTATAGGCCCCCTTCAGATACTGGAAGGCTGCTATGAGGTCTCCAGGCAGCCTTCTCTTCTCCAGGCTGAACAGCCCCAACTTTCTCAGCCTGTCTTCATATGGGAGGTGCTCCAGTCCTCTTATCATCCTCGTGGCCTTCCTCTGGACTTGCTCCAGCAGCTCCATGTCCTTTTTATGTTGAGGACACCAGAACTGGACACAATACTGCAAGTGAGGCCTCACAAGAGCAGAGTAGAGGGGCAGGATCACCTCCTTTGACCTGCTGGTCATGCTTCTTTTGATACAGCCCAGGATACGGTTGGCTTTCTGGGCTGCAAGCGCACACTGCCTGCTCATGTCCTTCTCCGCAGGGCTGCTTTGAATCTCTTCTCCACCTGCATGGCAGGGCAGGACTGCACTGCCAAGGGGATTTCTCCTAGAGCCAAGGCAGCTTGCAAAGGCAGGCAGCACACAGGACCCCATCCCCAAAACCTGGGATGCATCCTCCCACCCCTGGTCACCCCTCACTGCCCAGCTCCTCACCTCTGTCCAGTTCTGCAGCCGCTTGTTGAGCTCAAATATCCTGTAGTCAGTCTGGTTCCCATACGGCGTGTGCCTCCTGCCCAGACAGCAGTGCAAGCAGTCAGGGGGGGAGGCAGCCACAGGGTGGGGAAGGGTCCTGAGCACATGGTGGAGGGACACACAGCCTCTCCAGGGCTGGGCAGAGTCAGAGCATCCCCCCTCCCAAACCCCAGCCAGCACTGTGCTGGCCCTCCAAGGCATCCCCACCATGGGCACAAGCTCCCCTCCCAGAAGAATCCCTGCCAGCCCTCTGTGCTTACCCAATCCCAGGCTCCAGGTACGTCGGTGGGTACATGGGAGTAGGACTGAGAGGAGAAAGAGATGCAGGCAGGTCAGTGCTGGTGGGGAACTCCCTCCTTGCCTACCACAGCTCCTCATTCCCTGCCTATAGCAGCAGGCATGGGGCTCACTGGAGGCGAGACCCCACACATGGTGCAGGCTGTACCCTGGCTGCTGACTCAGACAGCCCCACGGGGAGACCTGCACCCCTGAATCTGGGCTCTGCTCCTGCACTAGTTGCTGTTCCACCGCTCCTGGTACAAGGCCTGTGGCTCTCCAGGGACATGCCCAGCTCTTCTGCAGCTGGGGCTGATGCCAGGCAGGACAGAGGTTGGAGAAGGGGCTGTTTTGGCAGGAACTGAAAGTGCTCCCTGTCCTGCATCATGCCAGGGGCTTGGCCCAACAGGGGGCTTGGTCCCACAGGTATCAGGGACCTTGGGGCTCCCTTCATCCCAAATATTACCATTTCTCCACCCAGTCCCACCTGTGCCCACTCCAATCCTCTCCCTCCGCTTGTGCTGCCTCATGTGCTGCAGTCTCTGTACACTGCTGGGGAGCATGACAGAGACACCCTGAGGTGCAGACTGCACAGCACAACCAGCCTTGCAGACCCCTCCCCAGGCCCCAGCTCACCCCACATCTCGATCCAGCATGGTGCCCGGGTGGAAGGGGGGGAAGGCGTTGCCGTTCGGGGGCTCCTTTGGCGAGTACAGCTTGAACGACTTAGAGGAACAGCCTGGAGAGAAAGAGGGGACATGGGTCAGCCAGGGGCACCCTGCGAGGAAACACCCTGCTGCGAGAAGAAGGAAGGATGCAGGACCAGCCAAGCCTCCACCAGCATAGCCTCATCCCTCCTCTGCTCCTCCTTGATACCAGCCCAGTTCCTTCACCCCACACACAGGTCCAGGTCTTGCCTATGCAGGATTGGACCCACAGGGTCAGGACTGAGCTCTCGGGATCAGCAGCCAGCGGGGTCCAGCACCATCCCAGGGATCTCCCAATGGTGCTCAGAGTTTGCCAGTTCTTAGGTGGCCAGGCTTTGGGGATGGTG